AATTTTTGTAAAAATATAAATCACACAAATTAGAAATTACAACCTTTTTTTCATGTCTATATGTTTTTCAATATTCTCCCACCGCGCATTTATATTTTTGACTTATCATGTGTAAACATGTTTGGTAGGATAGGTGTATTGGGTAGATTTTGGGAACCAAAAAAGAGAGCCTTCGCTGGTGCGATTTCGCCCATGTCTACATTGGTCCACTCTACGCCTTTGTTGTTTGCAATGAAGACTCACTAATTTATCTAGGTATAGGTATAGATATCATCATCTACATTCTAGATCAGCGGTTCTCATTTTTTTTTTCTACGGAATCCTTATTAACTCGCCCTTTCTTTTGGGAACTCCATCGTGACAAAAAAAAACAGTAAATTGATAATAACCAGCCCTTGACGTCTTATTGTGTACACGTTGCAATTGTCAATTTCAATTTTAAACATTTATTGCATGTTTTTAATGTGAAGAATGAAATTTTTGCACAATTCTACTTACATAATAACATTAAAATTAGGTTTAATCTCTGCCAATTGAATTCGAATATCCGAAGCGGTATCCAATCTAGTTCGAGTTTGTTTTTAGTGTAAGGAAATCTTAATATACGTATATCAAATTCGCATATTCCGACACAGTTAAGATTAATGGTTTAACCTCATTTGCGAAAGAATTCTGTATTCAGTGGATGTCTTGTACTCAAGGGTTTTTGAAGTTTAATAAATGTTCATTTATGGTTTTACCCATATAGGTTAAGTTAGGCTTATTGTTTCGAGAAATCAACTTAGAAAGAGAAACATCCTTAACTTTTTCATTCAACACCTTCAGCTTCATCAGCCAAATGTGTAAACCTGTAAACGTGGTTGTGGTTCTTCCCTGTAGAGACCTGCAGATTTTATGTTGAGTTAACTTCATTATTCATTCATCATCGTCATGCGATATTTCGACATGACAAGTGACGTGAAAATCGGCTTTCCCCTCTAAAAAATATTTTGTTGTCGAAGAAACCCTTTTCTTCAATATATAGTTATTAAGGGCATATTAAAGTTATTCTGACAGCTGCAGTTAAAAATTGCGCTAAATATTTAAATGAAAAAATGAAACACTGCTTCGCCACATCAGTAGACGACGACAATTATTTCCAATTTATCTTCAAAAATTCGCGGAACCTCGTCTGTGATTTCCATGGGGCGCCTTTTAGGGACCGCTGTTCTTAAAAATCAAACAAAATCATAAAGGCCAACGCGCACTATGGGGAACAGGACAGAACTAAAGTGAAGAGAGAGAAAGGTCTAATTGTTTGTTTCTTTTTTTTATTTCACACTTTTGTCATTGGTGGATAACAAAGATACTTAAGAAAATACTGAAACCTACACATATCTATTAAAACTTACATAATTTCATGTTTCCTTTACTAGACAAACACATGAATTGATCTTACATGAACCACAACCACCCCAATATATAGCTTCTCGTTTTTTTTTTGGCAAAAGGTAAAATTTTCAGGAATATCTAAAGATGTACTTATTTTTCGTTTTCTCCGACCATTAGAACGATCGAAATAATCGTGGGTTGAGGGGTGAAACGTAGGGAGGGTGTTAGCGTGACAGCCGGCCATTATTCCTTGTAAGGGGTGAATTATGGAAGCGCGCAGCGGGAAACCATTAACTAAATTACAGCCGAAGAAGTAGTACACACCGGCTAAGAAGAAGAAGAATAAGAAGAAGCAAGCAAGCAAGTCAGCGGTAGCCAATGGGATCGGTTTCCCTGGGAACGTAAGATTTAGGCCCTGTGTGCCCGCGTGCCCGCGAGGCTGAGCAGAATTGATCACCACCGCCTGGGCTCAGGTGGTGTATAATGATACCTTTCTAAATATATATTCTTGGATGTATGTCTGTACGTATGTGGCGTCTTAAACGAACTACTATAAGGGAAGTCGGAATCCCTTTAGGCCTCGGCGTGTATATCCCGCCCGCCAATTATCGTTTTAACTTAATTAAAGTTTTACTTTACGAGGCTGTGCTCGCTGGCAACTTGATCCGATTACATACCACCTACCTACGTTTCCAATTAAAATAGGTAGCTAGTAGATAATTAGAAATGTATTTGGTGCGTACCTATTCACAAAGTCGAAGGAATGCTTGCTTTAATTAACATTACTTATCCAATATTAAACTGCTCTGTAAATGTTTTTTGTTTAAGGAACCAACTTTAAAAGACAATTTTTTACATCACTTGGCCCTTATTAGGTCACTGCATTTAAGGAATTACAATAATAAGTAGGTACGCTTAGATGTGGAAGTAATTGTGTAACTTTATGCTCAGTTAATTGGTTTATATACCCTAAGAGGTAACAGGGAAAAGGTGCTGCCCTTTTTCATTAGTTTCATGCTAAATTAATAAGATTTTATTTGGGTTATAGGATTTCTACAGCTTGAATTTTTTAATTTGTTGACCCCATTATCTTCATAAGTTATGATATTCTGAAAATTCAAATAATGGTTTATGCACTTTTTTTGTTGTGATTTCATATTTTCATAAACCTGATAGTATATATAAATAAGTAAATTGTATATCCTAACTTTCTTATATGGAAGGCAAAAGTATTTCTTTGAAAATAGGGCTAAGCCTCTAGATTTTGCTAGTCTACAATCAAATTCTATACAAAACAGAATATGACGGTCACGTTGTCTAAAATATATGTCAAATTAAATTAAGAGAAAACTGACTTTTCGAAAGACGCAAAAACAAAATCACGCTCTGTTTTTGTTCGAAATTTGTAACATAAATTTTAATATGCATCTTTACATATATTCACTGTTGATTTGGTAATTATGTAAATATGGAATCATTTTCAACTATTTTTAAGATATCAATATCGAAATTCAAAATTCGGTATTGGCATTTTGCAAATTGTAATTCGGTATACCATATATACACCTTTGAACATTTTTTTTTGTTTTTCTTTATTTTAGGTTTTAGTTTCTTTAGTATACGTAATATATAATTATAAAAAAAAGCTTTGCCTTTTGGTTTTAAAATTGAAGGAATTCCTTTGAGGTATATGCAAAAAAAGGCGAACGAAAAGGTTTTGCTTCAAGGGTTTGCTTTAAAGTAAAAAGTTTCAGATAATTTGTATTTATAAAAAGAAGCATCCGCTCAAAAACTAAAGGATTTGCTTCTAAAAAAAGGAATCTAGGTTCACAACAACATTTCTCGCTCTTTTCAACTTTTCAGTAGCTGTTCAGGCATCTCACAGCTTGTAACGTAAAAATTTATGTATTTGGAGGACTGTTTTTGTGTTAAAATCTCTATAAAAGGACTTGTATAGGTAATCTTTAGTTGTGTAGTCCCAGTGTTGTTCTTGTTATGGCTGATATGGTGCATTTACGTACAAGAAAATACTACAAACCAAGACGTACACCACAAGAATCAGATTTTAAAACGTCATTTAGATTCGAGGAGGAGAATGTCGTGTGGTTGACGGACCACTTTCTTGGCGCGTATCCCGGAACACGTGGAGCAGCCGTGTCATCTGTGCAGAAAATGAAAATATTTCTTGGTTATTGTGCAAACCATAAATTTGTTAACTTTCAACACTGCACAAGTAAATCAGGAATGTATTAAACTAAAAAAATAAACAGCAGTCACTGAACACACACACACGTTGATTGCACAATGCAAATTTTAATTAGTTTGTCGAAATCGGTATGGGCTAATCTAATCTTTTATAATTATTATTGTATTAATTTTTATAAATACGACCTATTATTGTGTTGAAGCATACCTTTTACTAAATATTACAGGTAGGGTTGCCACCCGTACTTTATTATAAAGTATTGTACGTTATTTAGGGTAATTGTACTCTATACTTTATGCGACAAATAAAGTACGCGAAAATACTTTATTTCACATGATTT